ATAAGGAGAAATGGCTCCGAACACCCCGATGATGGCCGTGTTGAATTCAGATCTCAACCGGAGGGGTTTCCAAACCTTTCAAATGTCTCCCAAATATCCAAAGTTCATAGCTCCACCCAAAATACCCATAAAAATCCAAAAATCTAAACTCCACAAAAATCTCAAAATCCCCAAAATCCCAAAAATATTTAAAAAATGAAATAAATCCATCAACGCGCTTAAAGCAAAATCCATCCGCCCTCCGCAACAGTTTGTCGAGGCGGACAAATTCAAATAAACTCTAGCTCACAAAGAGCCAAATGCTTAGTCGAAAATATCACTAGGATCCATTCTCAAACAATCTTTTGCCAGTAAGGACGTGGTACGTGTCCTCTAACCGGCAGTTTTGCCGCCAAATGGCACTGCAGGTAAATGGTTATGACCCGGGGCCCTCTGAACCGAGTGGTTTTGCCGCCAAATGGCACCACAGATAGCGGTTATGGCCAGAGCCAATACGCTCCTTATTGGCATCAAATCCTTGAGATATGAATCAATAGGATATGATCGATAGGGCACAAAGCCCTCTGTAAGCTAAGGTGGATTCAAATTTGTCCCCTTAAGCAAACATCCAACCCAGGTCTACAAGGTCCCCTTGGACGAAGCAACCCATGGCTGCCGACAAGGATCCTTCTGTCAGGTTGGGTCGACTACGTCCTCTGACTAAGTAGACCAGGGACCACGATGGCCCGGGACGACGGAACCATGGGATCTTGATCGGGCCCATCATCCATTCCCCCACCATCCGCTTTAAGTGAAAGATGGTGCAATTCCTATTTTAAATATTAAATCTTTCAATCCAAAATCCAAAAACCCAACTCTTCAATTTCCAAATCCAATTTCTACCAATATCCTAAACCCATGCTGCTACTATATGCCAGATACACGTATTTATATACGAATCTGATTAACGACTAGCCTTAATCGAAAGTTCTCTCTCGTGATCGAAAGGGGTAATTAACTATAGGGGCTTGCGCCTATAGGAAACCAGAACTCAGATCATAAAGTCCTCATAAAATGAGGGCGAAATCTCTGGGTAGTGTCTTATCTACAAACCCATCTGCCTTCCAAAATTTACCCCGGAACTTAGTTCGTTAAAACTCCCTCGCCGAATAAGAAAAGCGAGTGGAGGCCGAGGCCGAATTTTCGGAGCCCACATGAGGATACAACCAAAGGTCGTTGAAATAGGAGGTGGAGTCGGTCTCATTGACGTAATTGGAGGCAAATGACGAATCAACCAATAGTGCAAGTGTTTTATAAGATGGGTGGTAGGAGGTGAGCATGAGCAATAAGGTGGGAAGAGATCGAGATCGACCCATGGTAGAAGGGGGTTGCGATCAGGATTGGCAAGTACGTGATGAGATCATGTGCCAGACAAGGGTGACAGCACAAGCGGAGATTATGAGGCGATGATTTCAAGCATTTGGCGCAAAAAGTAAGCTCAAATGCTTGGGAAAATAAAGGGTATTCAAAGCAAAGGATTCAAAAGTAGTTAAGGATACTAATCCCACTTTGATATCATTATGAGAGGGAGAGCATTATTGTATTTTATTCAATTAATAACACCCATAAATAGTAGATAGATGAATAATGTTCCAAAGAGTCACTAACTAAAGTAATTAACACTAATCATGTATGATATGATTTCCTAAAATATCGTCTACTACGTTAACAGAAGCATTTCATTGGGTATGTTATAAGCAATTATGGTGTTAGCAACATGATGGAGCAGTGGTAAGCAAGCACCAAAGTGGCAGGCTTACAAAGATTTAATGGCTACTCTACTTAATTACAGTTTAACAAACTTTTCCATCAAGCCAGATCATGAAGAGCTTCATATTAATTAATGTCCAAATGAAAATATTATTTTTTGAGATGACTTGAGTTTATATTAAATTTCATGATGAAATTGTACGTTACATCTAATAAAAAGTATGATTTTAGCTTATACATTGTGAAATGCTAAAATCTTATTTCAGTCAAATTAACGGTTCAATAATCTGCATACAAATAAATTCCAATTTACCTCAGGCATCTGAGTTTTGCAACTAATTTCATGTCTTCTGTTGCGTCCTGGAGTATTCGCGGCGATAGAGAAATATATAGTTTATCGTCTTAGCATTGTACGAAGATCCAGCACACAATCAGATAAGAGAGAGGGTGTAGCATTCATAAGAGACACCAGCGTTTTTACGTGGAAACCCATGAAAAAAGGGGAAAAAACCATGGGGCCGAGTTTGAAAGAATCCACTAGTATTTGAAGTCGATTACAAATGAGGCCCTTCTTAGGGAGAAGGCCTTGGCTTGATGGTACAAATGTACATCATATAGAGCGCATTACATGTTCGGAGTTACAATAATCAACATAGAAATGTTTGTTTAGTTGGAAGGACCATAGTTGGCATGAGACAGGGGTCCGAAAAACTGTAGTAGGCAAAAAACCGGGGTCAGAAAGACTGTTGTCTATTGATGGAGGTCGGAAGGACCATAGTCGGTAGGAGACATGGGTCTGAAAGACCATAGTTGGCAGGAGACCAGGGTCCGAAAGACCATTGCCTGAAGATGGAGGTTAGAATGACCATAGTAGGCGACGGAGGTCGAAGGACCGTAGTCGACAGGAGACTAGGGTCTGAAAGACAGTTGTCTGGTGATGGAGATCAGAATGATCATAGTAGGCGATGAAGGTCGGAAGGACCATAGTCGGTAGGAGACTGGGGTCTGAAAGACCATAGTTGATAGGATATCAGGTCTGAAAGACCATTGTATAGTGATGGAGCTCGGAATAACCATAGTAGGCGACGGAGGTCGTAAGTACTGTAGTCGGTAGGAGACAAGGGTCTAAAAGACCGTAGTAGAAGGACGGTATCCGAGAGAACTCTAGGCATCAGGTGCTGGCTCGACAGAAGTCCGGGCCTCAGGTGATGGTCCAGCAGAAGTCTAGGCCTCAGGTGGTGGTCCGGCATAAGTTTGGCCGTCAAGTGGTGATCTGGCAGAAGTCCGAGCCTCAGGTAGTGGTCCGGGGGAGCAGCGACATCAGGTGGTGGTCCGGTGGAGGTGAAGGCCTCAAATGGTGGTCCAGCAGAGCTCAGAGCCTCAGGTAGTGGTCTGGCGGAGCAACGACGTCAGGTGATAGTCCGGCGGAGCTCAGGGCCTCAGATGGTGGTCCGGCCGAGAAACGATGTCAGACGGTGGTCCGGCGGAGCTGAGGGCCTCAGGTGGTGGTTTCAGCAATCTTGGGCTCGTTGGATTCGTCTCGTCGAGCCGCTCGATTCGACTATAAGCACGTCATGTTTGGAAATTGTTTGGTAACCCAAATTGTGGTTCGAACCCTCCAACGGTGCTTCAGTCCATTATTTGGACTCATTTGGGCTCGGATTGAGTCGAGTTTGGTGTAGTTGGGTTCATATTTTCGAGACGTTCAGTTTGACTATAAGTTTGCTGAAATCAGAGTTCGGATGGTCCCAATTTTAATTTCGGAAGCTTCCAACTTGGTTTTGCATTGAGATTCGTGCATGATCAAGATAATTTTTTCATGACGTATCAACTTCCATAACTAAAATTCTATTAGACTAGTCCAACGAACTGGTCCAGCCGGTCCACACGGGACCGGCTCAGGCGGACAGAGGCGGATCTCGCGGACATAGGCGGAAGAGTTCCGCCTCCCTGTATGCACCGACCGAACTGCTTCAGCCAATATAGTATTTTAGGAAGGATTTTTCAAGGAGTTAGGAGGGAAATTTGAATGTAGGGACTGTTTAGAGATTTCCTTTTGGATTGTATTCATTAAATAATTTATTTTTCTAGGGTTAGGACATCTGGAATTTGGCTGAAATTTGAGATCTTGTAGTTTCTTAGGGCTCTAGCAGCGTCTAAAGATTTGGGAGAGAAAGATCCTCCTCTTAAATAGAGGATCAATTGCATATTGGAATTTTTCGTCCATATCTTTGATTATTGCAATAAAAACTACTATTTTTCTGATTTTCATTTTGTTCGGAAGAGTTTTTCTTGCTATTTTTCCAAAATTGATAGGAATTACTTTAAAACATCAAGTGTTTCCTATCAAATTCACAATCATAAATAAAGTTCATGAATATCAGAAGGTATATCCACAATAAAGCTATGAAATTTCTCCTCACTAAGAGTTGATTAGCTGAATAGGCAGGATTTTTCACTTACCGTACCATAAGTATATTTTACATGCAACGATAAAAACTAAGGCATAAAAAAGTAAAATCAGAAGCACGATTAACCAGTTAATAGAGCATTAACACTAATATTATTAATAAAAAAAATAAATGAAAAAACTACGAACTTCAGGAGAACAAAAACAGATAAAATAAAAGCAATTTAAAAGTCATGATTAGATCAATAGTTTTTATCAATAGAGAAAAATAAATAAATAAAAATGTTAGTGGTTCGATATTTGTTGGATTTAGTGGATAAAACATGCTTGGACTTGGAATCAGTCAAGGCATATCCTCAAGCTTAGAAAACAGTCCACGCCTGTTCTACCACTCCCAATACAAAAGAATGAAAGTTTTTTGAACGGGTTGTTCAAGCCAGAATGAACCCGACAAAGGTATTACTATAGTACTCAGTTCACCTCTGAAAAACTTTGAATTAAGTGAAGATAAAATAATTAAAATATAATGGCATACACAAACAATCTCCGATCAATGAAAAAACTAAAGTCAAATCATCCAAACACAATTCATCTGAAACAATGGAAAAGGAATAGACAAAGATCAGAATCTAAAATTTTTCTCATTGAAGTTAAAATTGAAAAATGTTCCTTTTATAAGAAATTCAAAGAGGAAAAATTACATACGATGATTGATAAATTTGTGGAAAAGATTGTGTTGATTCCATTGAGATAATGGTATAAGAGAAATTGACTTGTTTAGAAGTGTATTTTATTTACAAAAGAGAAGGTTGTTGAAAGATTTAAAATTTCAACTACACACCTGCAGCTGGAAGAGCCAGAGCAGCAGGTAACCATCCACCATATGTACTCTTGTAACTGGCACCCACATAAAGGGAGGACAAAGTAGAATACCTTCCTCTTGATTTGTTTACTGTAGTTGCTGCAATAGCTCGTCCCTCTAATCCACCCAAGGAAAGAATATATATAAAATTAAGATATAATGGAGCAAACAATAATAATTTTCAGTTTGTGTCTCCAACAGAAAATGAATGAGCGGAGAAAATGCACATCATTTAAAAAGCATGAAGGTATTTACAGTAAACAATGGCAAAAGATCTATCAGCTATAGGCCTCATTTGGTAATGCCTTTCAGCTGCCTTTTTAAAAACATAACATATAGCAAGTAAAATAACTATATAGCAATATATTTACAAGGCCGTTTGTCTATCTTTATGAAAAGAGAGCTAAATTTCATTCTTATCAAACAATACATCACAGGAAATTCACAAAGTACAATTGCGACAACACAACATTGACCAAAACCCAGAACTCAAAGTGGTAAGCTATATGCTTGAATGTTTTCAAAGCGAGTGAAAGAAATTTATGTGATGGTTCATCAAAATCAGATTCCATATCTATAGAGTGATAAAAACATCAAGTAATAGTTCAATAAATTCAGCTTCCAAGACAATTTTAAAAAAGAACAGCATAAAGAATGTGCATCCCTACTTCAAAAGAAAATAACCAGCAAAAAAAGTAGCTTAGGTAGAGAAAGAAAATGTGTGGCATATATTCTGTTAGATCGGTATGGACCGGCTCACGTGTAACAGAGGCAGAAGTGTTCTGCCTCTCCTGTATGCACCAATCGCACCGCGTACACGCCAATCACACCGCCCAGGCCAGGAGAGCAATTTAGGAAGGATTTTTGAAGGAGTTAGGAGGGAAATTTGAATGTAGGACTGTTTATGGATTTCCTTTTGGATTGTACGCATTAAATAGTTTGTTTTCCTAGGGTTAGGGCATATGGAATTTGACTGAAATTTGAGATCTCTTAGGTTTAGGTTTCCTTTGGGCTCTAGCGGCGTCTAGAGAATTGAGAGCGATCAATCCTCCTCTCGAATTGAGGATCACTTGTATCTTGTTTGTTTTTCTTCCGTTAGTTGATTTTTATCAATAAAGTTGGCTGTTTTTCTTTGATTTTTCCTCTGCTTGTAGATTATTCTCATTGATTTTGTCAAGATCTTTAGGTTTCACATGAGATCTTCAAGTGTTTCCTATCAAATTGGTATCGGAGCAATTCCTAGACCCTTGTGGGCTATTTTTTCTGGAATTTCAGCAGGGGATCCTTGTCCGGTGGAGGAAATTCTAGCTGATTTTTGGATCAAAATTCAGAAATTTTGATGGCGGCCAAGAAGGTAGATGCGTTAGAATAATGTTTTGAAGGAGAGATGAGCCAAATAAAAATCACGGTGGATGATCGAATTTCATCCGTGGAAGACATGGTTTCATCCTTGGAAGACAGTTTCTGATCTTCATTTTATGGTGAAGAAGTTATTGGCAAATCAAATCCAAACGATGGCATCGGAGGCGAAGGGACCAATGGAAAGAACTACAAATTCTGATTTTTGTAGGAGGGAAAACGATACAGAAATTATTGAGGAGAAAGGGGATGGTATGTAGAGAAACGTGGAAATAGGGAACAAAGAGTAAGGGGTGCTGGTTGGGAGATATAGGAGGGAATTAATGGTAGGAGGGGTGCTGATTTTGGAGAAAAGAGGGAAGAAACTAAAGAGGAGTTTGAAGATGAACATGTAAGGAAAGATCCGGAGATGTGGGGAGAGAAAAGCACTTGGGAGAGGGGAAAGTATAGAGGAACATGGGGAAACGGGGGAGAGCCAAAGGTAAGGAAGCTGAGAATGTCAATTTTTGAAGGGGAGGACGCTTATGGATGGATTTATAAGGTGGAGAGATACTTCGCTGTCAATGGGGTGACAAATGAGGAGAAACTGACAGCAACAGACTTATGTTTGGAGGGGAAGGCATTGTCGTGGTTCCAGTGTAGGGACCAAAGGAGATCTATACGGAGATCGAGAGCATTCAAGGACTGCTTATTAGAATGTTTCCAAACCAACAGGGAAGTGGACTTCTATGAACAATTTTTTGCACTGGTGTAGGATGGATCAGTGGCAGACTATTGTGAACGGTTCGAGCACCTAGCAAGTCGAGTGGAGCGATTATCAGAGACTGCATTGGAGAGAAACTTCATGAAGGGGCTCAAGGCAAATTTCAGAGCGGCTGTGAAATTCATGATGCCTCGTGACTTGGGAGAGGCCATTAAGTTGGCACAACTGGTAGAAAATTAAAAAAAATCAAGAGAGGGGAGCAAGGAGCAGTATTTCAGGAGGCTCTTACATAATGACAACCACTCTTTTAGCATCCAAGGGGTATGTATCAGACAACATTCATGAGACTCCCAAGTAGAATCCAGTAGGAGGAGGAAGTGGGGGGAACGTCAAAAGACTGACGAAGAGGGAGATGCAGGAGAAGATGGCGAAGGGACTATGCTTCATATGTGATGAGAAGTATACTCCAGGGCACAAGTGTAGGGATCAAACTCTTCAGATTCTCACCATCTGTGATGACGAGGAACCTGAGGAGGGAGGTGAGAGTATGTGTGTGTGTGTGTGTGTGTGAGAGAGAGAGAGAGGTGGAGGGCAAGCTGCATCTGGACGTGATGGAGGTCTCCCTAAATTCAGTGTTGGGATTCACACCGAATCATACCATGAAGGTGAAAGAGGAAATAGCAGACATAAAGATGGTGGTATTGATTGACAGTGAGGCTACTCATTATTTTATCTCCAACCAGGTCGTGAACCAAACAAGGGGTGAAATTGGTGGATACAGGATGTTATGGAGTGATGATGGGTATAGGGAAGGTGGGGACGGATCAAGGGATATGTAGGGGAGTAGTGTTGACCATGCAAGGGGTTCATGTAAGGGGTGATTTTCTCCCATTAGAGTTAGGGAGCACTGATGTCATCCGGGGGATGAAGTGGCTACAGACCTTGGGGGACACTAAGATCAACTAACGATGGAGCTGATGGTGGAAGGGAGAAGGGTAGTGATCAGGTGAGATGCAGGGATCACTAAAGCTAAGATATCACTTAAAACCAAGGTGATGAGCATACAGGAGGTGGGGGGAGGTTATCTGATGAAACTACATAGGTTGGAGGGGATTAGATTGGAGGAGGGCGGGAACATTCCTCTTTTAGTACAGCCATTGATTCAGTAGTTCAGTGAGATTTTTCAACCGCCTCAAGGGTTGCCATGGGGGAAGGTTAAGGAGATGCTAGAAGCAAGGATCATTCAACCTAGTGTCAGTCCATTTTTCAGCCCAGTGGCGTTAGTCAAGTGCTTCAACAACATTTTTGTTTGTTCCACCTTGAGGACAAGGTGACAATTTGGGAGAAAAGTATTGTTAGACCGGTAGTGGATCGGTCCAGATGAACCGACTCATACGTAATAGAGGCAAAAGTGTTCTTCCTCTCCTGTACGCGCCGATCGCACCGCCCAGGCTAGGAGAGTAGTTAGGAAAGATTTTTGAGAAAATTAGGAGGGAAATTTGAATGTAGAGATTGTTTAGGGATTTCCTTTTGGGTTTTATTCATTAAATAGTTTGTTTTCCTAGGATTAGGGCATCTGGAATTTGGCTGAAATTTTAGATCTCTTAGGTTTAGGTTTCCTCCGAGCTCTAGTGGCATCTATAGAATAGGGAGAGATCAATCCTCCTCTCGAATTGAGAATCACTTGTATCTTGTTTCTTTTTCTTCCATTAGTTGATTTTTATCAATAAAGTGAGCTGTTTTTTTTTTCCTCTATTGTCGAGTATTCTCGTTGATTTTGTCAAGATCTGTAGGTTTCACTTGAGATCTTCAAGTGTTTCCTATCATATTCTTGCTCTCTAATCTTAGGAATATTGAAGAGAGATGTAAAGAATAACCAATTCCTTGATCACAAATCCTCTATTCAGGGTAACATGAAGAAACTATTAATGAAATTATCATAAAAATTCATTCCAATATCTTTAGAGATTTTAAGAATTATAAGCCAACTCAAGCTTATTATTAACTAGGTATTTACTGATATAAAACCAAAACTGAAAAGCGGCCCTCCAAAACATAGCGATGAAAGCACCACAAGAATTAAAATGATGGTTATACTTTCTCATGAAGTAAGAATAAAATAATAGTTTTTAATCCTTGCTCAGAAATCCTTAGCGGCATTGCAGAAAGATCAAACAAACGATTGAATCCCTCACTATTCAGCTATAAGTTTAGATTCATCCTAGCAATTAATGAAACCAAGAAGAAAGCAAAGTCACCAACTGTTAATTAAATTGAATCAAATATTAGAAGTTTTTTTTTTTTAATAATTTGCACTAGCAATTTTTTTACTTCTAAATACCTGCTTTTATTGCTAACAAAGTTTGGTTTCTTGTGTAGCCTTATATGTATCTTTACTTGTAGCCTTTTCTCTTTGCTTGCTTTAAAATAACAGGTGAGACAAAAGCAAGAGAAGGGAGAGTGATCCAAAGGCTAGGCATCAAGCGTTAGAAAGGAGGCCAAACCCAAAAGCAGGAGTTGGTGAAATCGAGAGGTTTCAAACCTCATCATCTGTGATCATCGGTGAAATCCAGGAGGAAGATGTTAGACCGGTCCAGTGGACCGGTCCAGC